AAAAAAGCGGGTGTCAAGAAGAGAGAGAGATAGAGGAGGGGGGGGAGAGAGAGAGAGAGAGAGAGAGAGAGAGAGAGAGAGAGAGAGGGAAGAGAGTGAGAGAAGGGATGAGGATTTATTGCGGTCGAGAAGTTGCGAATAGAACACGATAACACCGATACCGCCGGAACGTACAGTTCCTGCTTGCTGTATAGCGTACCGTTCTACATATCGGCTGATCGAAGTTTTTGAATTCGAGCTGTCTCCCTACGAGAGGAGTAACTGATGGCCCTCGTCGATGTGTGCTGCTCGTTCTGGTGTGGGTCGCGTTTTCCCTCCATTAAATTCCGTTTTTATTTTTCCTTTTAATTTTTTAACTGGACAGGAGTTTTATCGCGTTTTTTATTGTAGTCTTATATTCAATTTATGGTATCGCAAATTCTAGTTTTTAAAAATTGTATTTTTGTAATCCATCAGCTAGGAAGAATCGATGACACTTTGTTATTTACGTCAGTAGTTTTATGTACATAGATGCATATATGTATATAAAACTATTCTATGTATATGTGTGTGTGTGTGTGTGTGTGTGTGTATAGTTATATTAGTTTTATATAGTACATGTGGTACACTCTAAATTTTTTAGAGTGGACTTTCACTGTAAAGAGTGAAAATCGAGGTAATCTTGAAAAAGAGTAATTCAACTTTCAATCTTTAAGAGTGAGATTTTATAAAAATTTTAGAGAGTACAGTTCAATACCGCAAATGTATATACAATTTGCGACATTGAAAGTTACAATTTTTACTCTTCAAAGTATTCCTTCCCAAATAAGATTCTATTTTACTTTACGTGAACGTAATTCATGGATGCACCGTTTATGCTTTATATGGCTTCACCAGTTGCTTAAAGCGCCGTTAAATATCATTTTATACGCGGTACATGCGGTCCAACAGAGTCCAGTTTTTAATTCCGGCCGCGGACATGACGGCTCCGATTACGATCTAATGTCGGCTGTTGTGACGAATGTCCGCGCGATGAGATGCGACACGTATCCACAGTCGGTGGAATAGATCATTCTGCATTATTGCACTTGCACGCGCGATTTTTAACGTCCGATCCGTTCTAACGCTCCGTGCGTCGCATTTTTGCGATACGAATGCCAAGCCGCGGGCGCTTTTCACTGCAATTCGAAACGCAATTCGGACACCTTGCTGCGATATTCATTACTTTTAACATCCCCCCCGCCTCCGATAACGACTCTCGGCAATCGGCAGTCGGTGTATGTACCGAAAAAACAAACAAAAAAAAAAAAAAAAAAAAAGAAGGGAGGAAAAAAGCAAGCCCGAATGCATTCGCGAATATTTAACATCGCGAATGGACCGCGGGGAAACGCGAGACGAGGTTTCCCGTTTGGGGATCAAACCGGGGAGCTGATACCGAATAACCAGGTCGGTCGCATGTCGTGCGATTGGCGGAAGCATCGGTCATTAATGGATTGGACGGATTCCTATCGTAAGCGCATCCGTTACGTATTCTCGTATGTACACGTACATACATGCCGTGCATACTCCACCCGGGAGAATTCCCGCGGTCCTCGTGTCCCCGATAATCGCGACAACGACGACGACGATGACGACACGACGAAGGACGAGGGAGACCGACCGAGGACGTGCCTTCGTGCCGAGTCGCACGAATCGCACGGTCGTAATGAATTATCCTTCTTTCGCAGAAAACGGAGAGCAACGCGACGCAGGTCGTGCTGACGAAGTTGGAATTGGAGGCGGCAGGCGCGTACAGCTGCGAGGTATCAGCCGATGCGCCTTCCTTCCACACGGCTATAGTTTACGCGGCGATGAACGTCGTCGGTAAGTGTCTCCCGTTCTCTCGGCGCTCCCGCTCCGTATATACGTTTATAACTTAGGACGACGCCGTCGTCGGCTGCGTAAAAAAAACACGTAGCGGAACGTTATTATACCCAGGCCGGGGCGATTTAACCCGCCTCGTCCACTTTGCTCGGTCGGGGGACTGTATCCTGACGATATCGAGTTTTTGATAAGGGGAATAATAATAAGCGCGCTATTTAAATCGCACTCTCGCCGTCGTAAATAAAACTTTTACGATAATTTACTGTAAGATCGACGAACCGGAGCGCGTCGCGAAAAAAAAAGAGAGAGCGGTGGGGAAGCGGGGGGGAGGTTGGGAGGGGGGGGGGGGGGGAAAGAGCGCTTCCTATGCCTCCCGGGAGCGACGCGACAC